TGTATGCTTCTCCTGAATAAAGAAATCTCTGATGGAACTTTTGGTCTCCAGAGGATTTACTCAACTTTGGGATTGAGTGTGCAGACTCTGACAGCATCCCCCCCATCCTTGTTCTGCCACAGGTCATCTACATCTGTGTCCAGCATCATCTGCTGGACCTGATGGGATGGGTAGATATAACTGATTCTTTTCTGCCACAGCGCCTGCCCTTCGGAACATCATTCCCCCCCCACCGGAGGTTAGATTGGCCCCAACCCTATGGGCCTTCCGGAAGGCCCTGAAGACATGGCTTTGTCAATGTACCTGGGGATCCAGTAGTGGTATGGAGCCTTCTAGATGGCTGTATTGATTGACACATGACTTGCACTTGCCTGCTTACTATGTTTTTTGGTTTTCAATGTTGTTTTTAATTGGGTTTTAATGGGGTTATTGTTTTTCATTGACTTTTGCTGTTTGTTTATTGACCTTCTCAACAATTGTTCAGGACCATTGCATCCAGGCATGGTTTCTTGACAAGACCGAACACTGCCTCTTTAAGAGCTAGCAGAGAGAGCCCCTACCCCCCACATACCTTCAAGGATTCATTTACCACTCCCTGGACCCAACCCCATTTTCTCTCTCAGGAGGCCTTAACCAGCTAGCAGTGATATAGCTCTAATATAAAAGTATTACCGCCTCAAGGATTCTGACCACTTCCTCAGAACCAACAGGTTCAATCTCTTCCCAGACAACCAAGCCAGATCATGCCTCTGTTCATAGGCACAGCCAGAGGCCACTTCTGAGCGGATCCAAGCAACTACATTTGGCATGTGCCTTGGATAGTTCTCATGGCAGCTTCGTGGTGGCCTCCTTACTTACAGGTAGTCCTTGCTTAATGACCACTCATTCAGCAACTGTTTGAAGTTAAGATGGCGCTGAACAAGTGGTAGTTATGACCAGTCCTTGTACTTACAACCCGCACAGCATCCCTGTGGTCATGTGATTGTTATTCGAGTGCTCAATGACCTGCCTGCATTTCTGACTGTCACGGCACCCCATGGTCACAAATGCCATTTCCGATCTTCCCTGCCAGCTTCCCACAAGCAAAGTCAATGAGGAAGCCAGAAGGAAGCCGGAAATCACGACCACGTGAAGTCCTCACTTGACTATGGCTGAAAATGCCATCGTAAAGTAGCATGGTCACGTGACATCACGCTCCATGACCATGCCACTTAACCATGGAACTGCCAGTCCCAATTAGGGATGTTAAGCAAGGACTATCTGTATTAGAAAGGCACTATTTTCTTTACAAAAACATTTTGTGACTTATGCTGTTAACACTATTCTAACTATGGGCCAGAAAGAGACACTGCTCCTCTTAAATACTGAAACAGCTTTCTTCAACCAGGCTGCTCCAGATAGTCTGGGATTTGTAGTCTCAGTCTACTGCAGAATAGACTGGGGAGGCTGCTCTTGTACATGTCGCTGATTCCAAATTTAGAGTAAGTTCCCAGGCAGGAAGTTAGAGGAAGTTCCCAGGCACTTGAGATTTTCCCAAGGTTCTTTGTTCAAACCTTTATTCTTTGCTTTGACTGAAATGGCACATTTGAAGTTCTAGCCTAGACTTCCTGAAAGTGGTGTTCTCCAGCTGTGTTGGACTATCATACTAGCTGGGAATGATGGGAATTGTAGCTGGAAGACCTGAAAGCAGCAGCATGAGAACACCAGGAAGCTTTGCAACTGTCAACAAACAGGTGGTGGTGGTAAGATCTTGGATTTCATAAAGAGGAGACTTTTGTCCACAAGCAGATGTTGTATCAAAACAAACTGATATTCATTTTATTGGCTGGCCTCAGACAACATGCTAAACCATTAGCCATGCTGGCAACCCACAAAGGCTGATTTCACACATGTACTGCAGCATTTCCCAAGCTGGTGCCTGTAGATGTGCTGGCCACGTGGAAGTTACAGCAACACATCTGGAGGCCCGAGACTGGAGGAAGGCAGAGACGCTGTGATTTTAAGATACTGCAGATACAAAATTGAAAAAGGAATAATAGCACATTGGCATCATGTCTGTCAGACAGTGAACCTACAGGCAAGGAATGTCTTCCATTTTTAAATGCTTTAAATTTTTACCATAAGGACACTCTGGAATTGAACTCTTTCCACTACTTCCTTCTGGAGCAGTATTTCCCAACTGTGGCAACTTCCAGCTGTGTCTGTATGTGTGTACAATTCGTCTGTGTTTGTCTATGAATGATGAAGAATATTGAGAAATATTTGCCTTTTATATGAGAACACAGCACTGGGCTGAGCTGTGTTAAGAGCCCATCTTAAAAAAAAAAGTTGCTAACGGAGTGTATTCTAGGTCAAATAATTCAGTGGGGAAATTCCAATGCAGGGAAAAGTCGCAGTTGGGAAAAAGTTTAGGCATGAGAAAGTGGAGACCTCTGTGGCAGAAACAGCAAACGTTAACTGAAACATGGATTTCTGGAATAATTTTGCAGATAGGCTACTTTCAATATTTTCTCCCCATGTTTTTCTTAACTTTCTTAATCTTTTCTCTTGATTTTCTGAATATAGGGCGACTAATTGCTGTCTTCATTTTATTAATCCCAAGTTTGTCAATAGAGTATAATTCTAAGACACAGACATTAAATACAAGTCAGGCCATATTTTTCTAGATCAGTGTTTTCAACTTTGGCAACTTTAAGATGCGTGGACTTCAAATCCCAGAATTCCCTAGCCAGCATCTTAAAGTTGCCAAGGTTGAAAAACACTGTTCTAGATTATAAGACCTAATGATCTCTTAAAAGGCTAACAGATAGCAATATGGAGATTGATGCAGGGGTCACGATTCATCGCCTACTAAGATACTCCCCAGAAGTTTAATAAACAGAGTCCACGCACATGAGTTCACAGAATGTATTAAAGTATTCCTGGCATTAAAGAGACTTACCTCTGAGTGCTATGCAAAAAGATTACTCACCCCAAATCTCTTATAAACTAATTTACTTTACAAGGTCACTCTAAGGTGGGAGGGGGAGTAATCATCTCATCTGCAGGAACTAGATGGCAAGACAAATCAAAGACTCACCCATTTATTGCAAAATACATATACCCAGCAACTGAGTCTTGTTTATTTCTCCTTTCAAGGTACATGCTAGATGTTAATGTGTTTCAAAGAATTTACAGGAGAGTTAGGACAACAGAAATTCATGGGACAAAGAAAAAGAAAATTTCTCAGCAAGCAACGGTCCAAGGAAAAACAGGACTTGGAATAACATTTAAGAATAAAGGTTAATCTTAATTTTTTTTTCTTTCCTGTTATCTATTACGTTTTCAGTGGGGCTTCCTTGATTTAATTATTTATTAGTCCAACAGCATACAGAGGACTAAAATGGCAAAAAGGAGGGACACACACACACACTTACAGAAAACCCACACTACATTTATCCTGCTACCTGTCCAGGATTCATAACCTTTAACACTCTAAAATTCTCTATCCCTTCATTTGTGGATAAATTTATACACACTTTTGCTGTACACAGAGTTAAAATTACAAAATGCTTTTGTATTTACAAAATCTGTATTTACACACAGTTTCAAAACTCACAAAAATCATCTATAATTTATATCACAAGTTGCTACACCAAAATATTAAAAATGGGATAAAATTATAAACTTCTCTCTCTGCGGTTTTTTTTAATTCTCTCCGCTGTTTTGTAAAAAGGGTTACTATTGAAAGAAAAGCAAGACAATTTATTATTATTTTTTAGACAAAGAGCAGCAAGAGAATCACATGCGTCCCTTAACTCTTCTTGAAGTAATAAGTAACTTCTCTTTAACTAGAAGCCGCTGAATTTTTCTTCCCTGCTGCAGATGGAGGAAGTGGGTCTGCCAAATAATGATCTCTATCAGTATACCTATCTATACATGTAGAAATGTTGAAACTAGATTAAGGATCTCTTTGGCTAATAGTTTGGCATTAAATTAAAAAAAGAGGCAGTCCTCCTTCTGCTGTGCTACGAGTAGACAACCCAGAAAATTCTCCTCCAGGGTTGGCGTTCCACCAAAAGTCCTTGGGAAACTTCCTGTGCATTAAGGCTACATGATTTCTGTTTCATCTCAGCAGGATATACGTGGGAAAAAAGAACCTGGTAGAAATACCCCCAATTTCCCCGTTAACCTTGTGGACAAGACAAGGAAGAGGAAACCAGACATTCTAAGGAGATCCACATCATGCTGTGGACAGTTAAGATAGCCACGATGATTCTTCCAAGAATGCATTATTATCTGTTTTGCATACAAACAAAACAAATGGTATCCCAGCCATTCCTAGAAGCATAATTCATAGGAATCATCTACTTGAGTTCTGTTCCTCCCCCCCGCCCCCTACCCCCCAGAAACTGGGGTTTGGTTAACCAGACCTGGCAGGAAACAAAGTTGCTTCATTGCATCAAGTAAACATTAGTGCAGAAAAAGACAGGATTCTTCCCCACCGTTTATGTGTGGCAAACACTTAATTCAGCCACTGCACTCCCCACTCACACCCTGCACACAGATGCTCCTTAGTAAAGTTCAAAAGGTCTTATCAAGTAATTAAAGTGTATGTAGTGCAAAAAAAAAAAAAAAAATCACAACCAAGTCTTTATGTTGCTTTGCGTGTCGTTTCCAACGTCGGATGTCTGAAATTATGGACATGTCTCTATCTACTAGTCGAGCCTGGTATGATATTCCAAGCTACAGAAATGCCCGTGTACTTTATTTTATATATACACCTATACATGAGCTCTGCATGAGTATGGATCCACCCATATCCTTGTCTTATTCTTTTTTTTTTTCAGAAACAAAATAAAACGAACACTATTCACAATACATTTAACGCAAACACAGATGGGAAAGAAAGAAAAAAAATTATACGTATACATACATATATATATAGGTACATATATATATTTAAAGAGAAACCTGCTTCCAGATGCCCAAGGCGGAGAAACTTGTGCTTCTAAGTTGTGCAGTCCTTGCAGAGCAATCTCTTCGGAAACTCATCCTCCGTCCAGCTTGGCAAAGCCGGACCAGTCTTTTTGCATGTACACTGCATAATCCGAGGGCAAGTGAGAAGAGAGTATCAATGACGTAGCCGCCTTCCTGGGTGTGCCTCCACCACTGGCTCTAAGTCCTGCAACGTACAGTTCCAGAGGATTGCCAGCCTGCGCCATGCACAGATCGCAAGGGGCAGGTTTTCTTATATGCTGGCGATCTCTCTCTCTCTCTCTCTCTCTCTCTCACACACACACACACACACACTCGCGCTCTCCATCACACCGTGCTTTCCCATTATATGTGGCAGAAACTGAAGGCACGCTGAACTAATTTCATAGCATTGTGTTTGATGGATATTGCTCACTGGGGAAGATCTAAGGTCTTCGTCTGACTGTTGGGTCTTGCTGGGCCATAGAGAGTGACAGACGCTATGTGGTTATTCTGCATCACCTGCAGGAAGAGACGACCGTCAGCTTCAAAATGGCAGCCAAATGGATTTGGAGCAAGGGAACGCATCACCCCAGAACCCCCAGGGAAGGGATGTCTCAGCCAGTCCTCTGGAAAGATCATGTCAACCATGTGAGGTAGTCTAGACAGGAAGCATGCCCAGATGAACTACAGGCAGTCCTTGCTTAATGACCATTTGTTCAGCAACCGTTCAAAGTTACGACAGTGCTGAACAAGTGGTACTTACAATGGGTCCTCAAAGTTCTGGCCATCTGAGCATCCCCGCGGTCATGTGATTGCGTTCTGGGTGCTTGGCAACTGGCTCGCACTTACGACAGTTGCAATATCCCATGGTCACGTGATCGCCACTGACAACCTTCCCTGCCAGTTTCCACAAGCAAAGTGGAAACAGGGAAGCTAGCAATGAAGGTTACAAGTTGCTCCATTAAGTCGCTCATACTCTCCGCCCCCCGCAGCAGCCACCCCTGGCCCCACCACACTCATGCCACACCTCACCTGCCACCCCTCTGCCTGACAGCAGTCACCTATCTGCCTGCTGGGCTGCTTGCAAGCTGCCTGGGACTCACTTAAGGACCTAAGATCCTTGCTTAATGATGGCAACAGGGAGCTCCATTGCTTAGCAATGAAAATTCCAGTCCCAATTATGGTCATTAAGCGAGGACTACCTGTAATTCTACTTTATTGTAAGTTTACATTGACAGAATCTTGCAAGCCTGAGCATATGCTTCTCCCCCGTTGCCTTTACAGGCCAAGAAATCAGGGAGGGTCCCTTCTGAGACATTTGCCACGCCCATCACAATCCTGCTGTGGGCTCGGCTGCCTCTTATCCGACAATTACCCTGGCTGTGGCTCTTCCCCCTATCTCCCAAGGTCATTCCCGCATACC